CCCGCCACGCAGGAGGATGCCGCAACACCGGAGGGTCCCGCCACGCAGGAAGACTGACCAGGAACGAGTCTCCTTCAGTGGAAACAAAGTGTCTCATTTTCGGTTTCCCGGATGCCTGACGGGCAATTTATTCAGGTCGGCGGCTTCTTCTGACCACGGGGCACCTACTGTGAATGGCGTCGGTGTTCAGCAATGGGGTACACGGTACTTCGACCCCCAAGATGACATACCCCTCCCCTCCCCCACTTCAGAGAACAATTCTAAGTGCAGCTTATTATAGTGTAAGTCCGGGCCAAAAGTTCTGAAAATGACCCAAATATTGATGCCGCTTCAGTCTGCATCTCCTCCGGAATGTTCTTAAGACGATCGGATCATTTCCTGCCACAGGAGGACCAGATGGCATCATGCCGGTGATTCTCTCGGTAACACAGGTGTCAGTGCTGATGAGGACAAGGCTGGAGACCCCTCTGTCATGCTGATGGAGTTGGAATAACAGACTAGAGGGCAGAGCTTGTGATCATTGTTCTTCCTCTGTGGGCGGATGTAACAGGGGTATATACACTGACCAGCAATGGAGGTATATACACTGACCAGCATGTAACAGAGGTATATACACTGACCAGCAATGTAACGGAGGTATATACACTGACCAGCATGTAACAGAGGTATATACACTGACCAGCAATGTAACGGAGGTATATACACTGACCAGCAATGTAACGGAGGTATATACACTGACCAGCAATGTAACGGAGGTATATACACTGACCAGCAATGTAACTGAGGTATATACACTGACCAGCCATGTAACAGAGGTATATACACTGACCAGCAATGTAACGGAGGTATATCCACTGACCGGCAATGTAACGGAGGTATATACACTGACCAGCAATGTAACGGAGGTATAAACACTGACCAGCAATGTAACAGAGACCAGCCATGTAACGGAGGTATATACACTGACCAGCAATGTAACGGAGGTATAAACACTGACCAGCAATGTAACAGAGACCAGCCATGTAACGGAGGTATATACACTGACCAGCAATGTAACGGAGGTATAAACACTGACCAGCAATTACCCTAAAATTAGGATTTCTGAATTAGCATAGATGCAATATTTGCTGGATTACAGATTTAGGGGGAGGGGCCAAATTTGCATATAAATTAACTACAATATTTACATATTAATGAGTCCCGGCTTATTCATATCTACATTGAGCCACCCATGTATATGTAAGTATCATAGTTTAGCCTTTTTCCAGTTGGAGGGGTGGGGGGGGGGTTGCAGTAGCCCAATCTTAATTTTGGTTGCCCCGTCTGCCCCCATATTGACATTGTTCCTCAGGTTCTATCCTCACTATGGACATTCTGCCCCGGGTTGTGTCCCCCTCTTAGCCATTCTGCCCCGGGTTGTGTCCCCCTCTTAGCCATTCTGCCCCGGGTTCTGTCCCCCTCTTAGCCATTCTGCCCGGGTTCTGACCCCGCTCTTGGGCATTATGCCCGGGTTCTGACCCCGCTCTTGGACATTCTGCCCCGGGTTCTGACCCCACTCTCGGACATTCTGCCCCTGCTCTTGGACATTCTGCCCTGGGTTCTGACCCCGCTCTTGGACATTCTGCCCTGGGTTCTGACCCTGCTATTGTACATTCTGCCCCGGGTTCTGACCCTGCTCTTGGACATTCTGCCCCAGGTTCTGACCCTGCTCTTGGACATTCTGCCCAGGGTTCTGACCCCGCTCTTGGACATTCTGCCCCAGGTTCTGATTAGCCATTCTGCCCGGGTTCTGACCCCGCTCTTGGACATTCTGCCCGGGTTCTGACCCCGCTCTTGGACATTCTGCCCCGGGTTCTGACCCCACTCTCGGACATTCTGCCCCTGCTCTTGGACATTCTGCCCTGGGTTCTGACCCCGCTCTTGGACATTCTGCCCCGGGTTCTGACCCTGCTC